TCGTCTCATAAAATGCAAGTTTAGGTATGTCTTGCTACTTCTACTTGCATTTAGGTCACACTACACATACATGTACAAGCAATATTTTACACCCCCCTCTGGGTATTTTCTATTTTCTTTCTAGTTTTTGTTCTTGTTTATTTCCTCTTATCTCTATGAGGAAGTGGAAAAGAATTCTTCCTCCCTAAGCCATGCGTGTTGTAAGAAGCGACTAAAATGCGGGAGCAAGGGGTAGTAAACCCCTTCTCCCGTATAAATTACTAAATTTAAAAGAGAAACTTTCGTTTTTCTTTTTGGGCCACCCTGCCTTGGTGGGATACGGCCGGTGTGTTGAAAGAAAGAAGACTTCCACATATCCAAAACATTGCTGGGACCTATAAATACTTTGTATATAGAGTAGATCATTCATTTAACACGGTAGTTACATTCCTGAAAACAACGTGTTAGGTAAAACCATGTTAGATGAACTGAAGAACTTACGGGAAAAATAGGGTTATGTTCCTGAGAGCCCCAAAAAAGCCAAACAACTTTTTTTAGTGAAAATGTAATTGTAGTTCATTGTTATGATGTATTATGTTGTTTTTACAGCTTAAGACTACAAATGTAACAGAAATAATAATATTTCTTACCTTAAATTGTGGGTGCTGGTGTTTGTGGATGATTGTGAAGAGAGTGGAGAGTTATGTTGTGGCCTTACTGGGCTGAGGTGGATGGTAGAGGTTCTGTATTGAAGTTGATGGTTGTACTGGAGTGTCTAACTTTAAGTCATTCAATCAATTGATTCAGTAAGTCAGTCAAGTGATTCAGTAAGTCAGTCAAGTGATTCAGTAAGTCAGTCAGTGATTCAGTGAGTCTCAAGTCATTCAGTAAGCCTTCAAGTCATTCAGTAAGTCTCAAGTCATTCAAGTCAGTCAAGTCATTCAGTAAGTCAGACAAGTGATTCAGTAAGTCAGTCAAGTCATTCATAAGTCAGTCAAGTGATGGTGGGGTGATGTCAGGGGGTGGATGGGGGCGGTGGGAGGTCTCCCAGCTGACCACAAACAAGGCAGCGCTTGAGGAAGGGAAGTCTTTTTTACCTTCCCACAAACTGAACCATGTTAAATTCATCATAGGTTGTGTTACATAAAATTGTGCTGCAATTCTTCAATCGTACTATACCCAAATCGTGCCAAATAAACTTGTGCTAAATGACGGTCTACTGTATTCCAAGACAAAAGTAAATGGCCAAGGCAGGTGAAATGTCCACCTGTCAGCATGTTTGTGACAATTTAAGTACAATTTCAGTACCTAATACTAGTGTCATAACAAAGATTGGTTATGAAATGACAAGAACTACTATAAACTGCCATTATCAGAAACTATATATTTTTTTTTTTAACAAGTCGGCCATCTCCCACCGAGGCAGGGTGACCCAAAAAGAAAGAAAATACGTACTTTCATCATCATTCAACACTTTCACCTCACTCACACATAATCACTGTTTTTGCAGAGGTGCCAGAATACCATAGTTTAGAAGCACATACATATAAAGATCCACAACATATCCCTCCAAACGGGCCAATATCCCAAACCCCTCCTTTAGAGTGCAGGCACTGTACATGTACTTCCCATTTCCAGGACTCAAGTCCGGCTATATAAAAATAACCGGTTTCCTGAATCCCTTCACTAAATATTACCCTGTTCACACTCCAACAGCTCGTCAGGTCCCAAATACCATTCATTTCCATTCACTCCTATCGAATGCACTCATGCACGCCTGCTCACCCTCGCACACATAACCTCCCTTACCCTTTCCTTCCAACTTTTTTGAGGACGACCCTACCCCTATACGCTCTCCATGTCATTCTACTTTGATCCATTCTTCTTAAATGACCAAGCCACCTCAACAAACCCTCTTCAGCCCTCTGACTAATACTTTTATTAACTCCGCACCTTCTCCTAATTTCCACACTCCGAATTTTCTGCATAATATTTACATCACACATTGCCCTTAGACAGGGCATCTCCACTGCCTCCAACCGCCTCCTCGCTGCTGCATTTACAACCCAAGCTTCACACCCATATAAGAGTGTTGGTACTACTATACTTTCATACATTCCCTTCTTTGCCCCCATAGATAACGTTTTTTGTTCTCCAATATAAGTACTTCAACGCACCACTTGCCCTTTTTTTCCCTTTATCAATTCTATGATTAAACCCCATCCTTCATAAATCCATCCGCTGACACGTCAACTCCCAAATATCTGAAAACATTCACTTCTTCCATACTCCTCCTCCCCAATTTGATATCAAATTTTTCTTTATCTAAATCATTTGATACTCTCATCACCTTACTCTTTTCTATATTCACTTTCAACTTTCTACCTTTACACACATTCCCAAATTCATCCACTAACCTTTGCAAATTTTCTTTAGAATCTCCCATAAACACAGTATCATCAGCAAAAAGTAACTGTGTCACTTCCCATTTTGTATTTAATTCCCTATAATTTAATCCGCCCTCTCCCGAACAAAATACCAACAAAAATACCAACCACTCCCACACTATGTCCTCCCTGCTTTTAACATTTCTGTCATGATCCCGTTAGTTCCAGCTGCTTTACCCCCTTTCATTCTACGTAATGCCTCATGCACCTCCCCCACACGCACATCCTGCTCTTCTTCACTCCTAAAAGATGGTATACCTCTCTGGCCAGTACATGAAATTACCGCCTCCCTTTCTTCGTCGATATTAAAAGTTTCTCAAAATATCCTTGCCATCTACCATAACCTCCATCTCCCCATCTACTAACTCCCTACTCTGTCACTCAGATATACCATATATTATAATTAGCCATTTCATGTTGGCAATGTCAAGTAATATAGTCTGAAGCTGTGAATGCAGTATTTTCACAGCTCTTGCATGTGGAATGACTGCTTGGCAAACTGGTACTAAATCCACATATATAAATTTTGTCTGAAACTAATTTTTAAATAAAAATTGTAAACTCACCTTTCCACACTATTGAGGTAAGACTGTCCATCATGTCCTCCAACAGCATACAGTAAATCAGACAACACTGCAACTCCAACTCCACAACGTCGCTTGCTCATTGGAGCCACCATTCGCCACTCACATGTTGTAGGCTCAAACCTCTCAACAGAAGCTATGGCATCACCACTACACCAACCACCAACTGAAAACAAGATATTATTTAAAACCAAAAATAAAGATATTTCATATATCAAATCCTTATATTTGGGCTCAATATCCCAAAATCAATATCAATATGAAAAAAAATCAGGTTTACAATGGGTAAAAATTTTTAGACATGTGAAAATAATCTGACTTTACCCCCCATCAATTTTTTTTATAGCCAAAATATTACCAAGTTATGATAAATGAAACAGAGGAGGCAGGTAGGTTATCCTGTCCTAATTACACAAGTACACAAAATAATTTTCTATTATTCTTGCATTAAGGTAGAATATACAAGTATATGAAAAAAAAAGGAGAACCCAATGAGTTGTACAGTAGTAGTTTCAGTCATTAAACCTTAAAAAAGTTATTTGTACAAAAAATTTAGGTAAACTGACTGAAAAAACAATTTCAGGAGACTCGTGTAATAATAATTACAATCAGGGAATTATCTCATTCCATACTTTAATAATACATGCATCCAGATTTTATCCTAAAATAATGTGAGCCAAGATGAAAATAGGCTCCTGCTGGAAAAATTCAAGCAACAAACCATCTTCACATTTTCTAGGGTAGGATTGAGGACAAGGTTTTTCAATGTACAGTATTAGTCTTGGCTGGATCAAATATAGGACAGCATATGGTGTCCCTAAGTGGATTTAAAAATTGGGTGTTCTTCCCACCTTTCTTTCAAGCTCTTTCTTTGCTGTCTACATGTTGAGTGGTTCATGAAGGACAGATTAGATGCTTGTTCTCTTGCTGGACTAGAGCAGCACACTCAAAATACAGTACTTGCTATATATGTACTTTCTTTGTTTTTAAATGTCTCCAGTAGTCTGCAGTAAACAAAGATGCCTATACTGTATCATCACACAGGGAAATTTATCTTAATACAGATTTACAAAAAAAAACCATTTAATACAGATTTACAAAAAAAAACCATTCTTCAAAAAAAAAATTCTTTTCAATACTCTTTAACACTAATAGTCAGTGGATATATTACCAAATGTTAAAATTATCAAACAAATCAATAAGATTCAAACTAACCTGCAAAAAGCACCTCCCCAGTCTTGATGGGTTTTCTTGGTCTCGTACGAGGACCTTGCATGAGGGGGCGCTCTTGAGGCAGTAGCAGATAGTTCTTTGCTTCATCAACTAGATCTCTACATGCCTGGAAAATTCATAAGAACTTTTTCATTATATTTAAATATTACTATGTTAAGAACTATATCATCTTAATAAGAAAGCAAATAAATAAAAGAATTTATAATCTGTTTTAAAATTTGTTTAAAGCTTTCTTAAAACAATTTGGCCTATTTCAGGTACTGAAAGATTTTCAAAACAATACTCGAAATTATTTTTTTTCATTATTAACACATCGGCCGTCTCCCACCAAGGTAGGGTGGCCCGAAAAATGAAAAATTTTCATCATTTACTCCGTCACTGTCTTGCCAGAGGTGCGCTTTACACTACAGTTATAAACCTGCAACATTAACACCCCTCCTGCAGAGTGCAGACACTGCACTTACCATTCCAGGACTCAAGTCAAGCCTGCCAGTTTCCTGAATCCCTTCATGTTACCCTGCTCACACTCCAACAGCACATCAAGTCCTAAAAACCATCTGTCTCCATTCGCTCCTATGTAATATGCTCACACATGCTCGCTGGAAGTCCAAGCCCTCACACACAAAACCTCCTTTACCCCTTCCCTCCAACCATTCCTAGGCTGACCCATACCCTGCCTTCCCTCCACTACAGATTTACACTCAAAGTCATTTTATTTCCTTCCATCCTCTCTACATGTCCGAACCACCTCAACAACCCCCCCTCAGCCCTCGGAAAAAAAGTTTTTT